TTCTACATTTTCATCAAGAGGAATCCATGTTCCTAACTCTTTCTTGGAAGGAAGCTTGACTCTACCACCACTCGCATTAATAGCAGGCACCCATGCCTTCCCATCTCGAACTTCCGTCACCGTTGTTGCTAACATAATAGATCCTAGACGAACCGTCGGTACGAAGATGCCCTTTTCTCCATCCTCTGCCGTCACCGCAATCTCAATAGGCGTCACTGTACTTCCACGAATTTGTGTCTTCCGTGCCATGCGCACTGCTGCAATCCTCACACCTTTCACTACGTCTTTAGTGTTGAACGGGATTACCACCGATCGTCCTTCCTCCATGTACTTGAGCTCGTTGGTGCGAAAATCCATCACAGCACCGTGATCGTTCATGAAATCCACGCCTACTAGAAAATCATCATCACAGCCCTTGACGACACATGCATCTACACACATCATATCGCCAAACACGTTCTCCATTTGAAAACGCCACACGCTTAGGACATCTAGGAGGAACCCCTCCAATTCCTTCAACATAATCCACAGGTGCGGAGCACGATACTCTGTCTCCGTATTTGACCCATCCAGTACCCGCGATAGTGAACCTGGCTCCACTGGCGAGCTCCACGTATCTAGTCACACCGTCAATCTTCACCTTCGCTGTAGGTAGTCCGTCGTTAGCTGCTACGTCGGGAACTTCAGCTTCGACTCCTACTTGTCGTCGTTGTACGAGGCTGACTCTGGCTCGTCCGCCGTCGTCTTGTAACCCAACCTCATTCTGTCCTTGTCGACGTTCTTCGAGTCGTCTAATGGCGTCTTTGACTTGTCGTTGGCGATCTCGTCGTTGCTCAGTTTCGTTGGTTTGTTGCCGTGCTGCTTCCTGTTCAGCGGCGCCTCGTTTCTCCAGTGCACGCTTCACTCTTTGACGTTTCTTTTGGTTGTACTCCGGCTTCCTGACCATTCGCACTCGGGCAATGTCTTGGCTTACGCCATCGTCACTACCGTTCGTCATTGCTTCCTTGGTCACGTCGCCGTCACCACTGGCGCCACATTCCACATTCTCCGGCGTCACACCGGTCCCCACCTAAACGCCTTCTTCAGATCGACACACGCCGTCCTCCTCGTCATCTTCTGGTGGCATAGTATCGGAACGCATATACCCTCTCACCGCCATTGCCGGCCGCACTGTTGCCACATAGCGAGCTGCGCGCTCACCATCCTTCTTGGCCGCTTCGGTAGTCAGGCACTGCCACAATTCATCCAACAAGTTCGCGTCACTAGTCGTCTGCTTCGTCACGCCTTCCGTGTCTTTTCTTCCGGCTGCGTCTCCCGGTCCTTGGTCTTCATCCAACTCCAGGTTCTGCGGCTCTGAGTCGTACTCAACTGACGTTCTGTCCTTCACTTCGTCTTGCATCATCTCCGCTGACTCGACCATGCATGTCTTGTCGTGTCGGTGTTCATCATCATTCCTTGAGCTCTCGTCCTTATCGTCTTTAACACCACGAGTTCCAACACTTGTCATCAGCTGGGGATTGTCATTCTCCGGTCGCCGTAATCCCTCTACTGCGCCGGTTTTTGCGTTCCCGACACCTTGACTTCGGTCTTTCGCTTTCGCAGGTTCAGTTCGTTCTTGGCCTTCGCGTCAGCGTCTGTACAGTCCTTGACCATTTGCCCATACTGATTACACGCGTAGCATTTAGGTCCAGTCGGGCATTGTGCCGCCCAGTGTCCATTCTTGCCGCACTTCCAGCATGCCTGCATGTCCTGCGCTGCTCTCGATCTTCCTGGTGGTTGACTACCGCCACTTCGTTGTTCCTGACGAGGTTCTGCCACTTGTTGTACAGC